AAATAAAAAAATAAAAAATATAAATTTGGCCAATGGGGGTGTAAAATACCTACGTAAAAAACACAAATAAAAAAAAAAAAGACGCCCCCAAAAAACCATAACAACAACAACAACAATAACAACAGCAATAACAACAACAACAACAACAACAATAACTACAACAACAACAACAACAACAACAACAACAAAAACCCAAACAAAACAAAACAAAACCAAAAGAAACACAAACAAACCAAAACGTCCGAATGTAGCCTTACGCTTTAATCAGAAATCATTCAAGTCATGTTAGGCATCGCAGTGAAATTTGGTGCTCGTCAAAATATTGAAATAGAAGATATCAGCATTTTTCCTATACATGTATGGGTTAACAATTTTTATCGAATTTTTGTTTTTTCGGCACAAAACCTTTTATGTCCGTACAAAAAATACATTCCCATGTGTATTTGACTGAAAAATGTTGATTAAAGGCACAAGATATGTCATTTTTCAGTTTTCAATCACTCTCGAGCTATTGAAAACTTTGGCGCCATTTTCTCGTTAATTTTACCACTGAAAGCAAGCGGCCCCACCTTTTTCAATCGCAATTATCCCTACCTATATTCAGGGTATTTTCCCTTTGCAAGCTAGACAAAGGAATACGCTTTTAATTGATAACAATAATTCCACATGCCCAAAAATTGACGATGCCTCACAATACATAACTAACGACTTACCTAGCACTAGAGCGGCAATACTTGATCTCCAACACAGACGTTTGTGAAGTAGAGTCATCCTCAGAGCCTTGTATCGACACTTGTCTGTGGGTGGTTGGAGGGCGTCCCTGGTTGGTCCTACTTCTTAACTTTCCCTCTCTGTTGTTTCTGTCTGTTTGTCTTACTTCTCCCTAGTCCAAAATGACGATTATTGAGTCGATGTGCTCCTCTTTGCTCAAACAGAAACAAACACAACACCTGTCTATTGACGAACACTGTCGTACATTAAGTTATCACTGTAGTGAATTAATTATGCTGAAAAGATCTTTTCCTATTCGCGGACACTTTTCTTCATCAAGTTATCACTGCATGCAATCTATATTGAAAACAAAGAGCGTTTACTATTAGCTGACCCTTTTTTTTTAAAACATCAAGTTATCACAGCAAATTATTGATTATGTCGAAAAAGGGCTTTTACTATTCGCGAACACTTTTCTTCATCAAGTTATCACTGCATGCAACCTATATTGAAAACAAAAAGCTTTTACTATTAGAAGACACTTCTTTAAAACATCAAGTTATCACTGCATGCAACCTATATTGAAAAGGAAAAGCTTTACTATTAGAAGACACTTTTTAAAAACATCAAGTTATCACTGAAATTAAACACTGAAAAAGGTCTTTTACCTTTAGAAAACACTTTCCGTCCACAAGGTATCACAGTTATTAATTATGCTGAAAAAGGGCTTTGCCTTTGCGCAGATACTTTTCTACATCAAGCTGTGACTGTAATCTATGCTGAAAAAGGCCTTTGAGTTAAGAGAACGATTTTTGGCACAAGAGAACACTGTGAGTTTTTGTCTGTCATGACAATGGCAAGATTAAGATTATAATCAACCTTCATTCAGTGTCAGTGTTGTACGTGTTGTTGCATCCTCCTCTGTTTGATCTAATCTATAGAATCTGTAACTATAGATATAGGCCGTGGGTTTTGTGTGTGTGTGTGTGTGTGTGTGTGTGTGTGTGTGTGTGTG